TTTAAATAACCAGACAATCCTATGCCTTATTTCGAGAGAAATCCAGCCCTGTCCAACAGACTGTAGGTGAGCGTGCACAACCCTGAAGTGGGAAATTATTGCAAACATTATTGACATTTACACATTGATTGATTTATTTTTATGCCTTCTGTTTCACTACTACCCACAAAGTCTACTTTTATCTTATTAGGTGATGTTTTATGTCAAGTTCAGGGGTTTACATATGATTACAATCCTTTCTTTTGTGCCATCCAAGAGATGCCAGTCTGTTCAAAATAGCTTGCATGAAAGATCAAAATAATTAGTAAAACAATCTTTCTTGGAATCTTTCCCATACAGTAGAAGGGAGTAAACTTACCCCCGAGAAATCATACACCAAGGCTGCATTGTTAGTATCTGTTTTGCTTAGGTTTCTTCATGCTGTGCTTTTAGCCTAAATGATTGTGAAAAGACATGTAGTGAGTGGCTATGTGGGATTTTACAATCAGGATTAGTCGTATTTTGTTGCTATAAACTGTTTTAATAAGACTTTCATATCACATTTTAAGATACAATCGGTATTTCATTATTTTTAAATGTTTAAATTATTTATATCTCTCTTTTTTTACAAAGTAAGCCACCTTTTATTGTATGCATGGGGGTTCTATTCAGAATTTATGCAGAAAGGTGCAATTTATGCAGAAAGGTGGGTTCAAATGCACCTTTGTGTAGCAAATGAGGGGTATCGCGAGAATAGCTGGGCAAGCTTCGAGAAGACACGACAGAGGGAGAAAATGGTGTCTGAATGAACCACGTCATCTGCAGCACGCCCGGGAGCGCATGGAAAGGAATCTAAGGCAGAGATGCATAAGCCAGGAGGGTCCCAACATTGAATCATGGAGGGATATCCCAACTGGAAGGAGCAGAGAGAATTTAAAGGGGTCTGTTTCCATTGCGGAACCGAGGGACATCAAAAGAAGAATTGCCCCAGCATTGATTGTTCATGGGTAAACCAATGGAGCCAGGTGACTGGATGAAAAGGGGGACCCAAAAAGGAGTGGGAAATAACTGCTTATGTCAATGGAGAACCGAAGTTAGCTTTAATTGATTCAGGAAGTGGAAAGACTTTGGTTAGAGACTTGAAAGAACATGAAAAGGGAAAAGAATTAATGATTAGGTGTATACATGGAGATGTGAAAGCTTGTAAGACTGCCTTTGCTATGATTGAAATCAAAGGGGAAAAACGGAAATTGGAAATTGGAATAGTACCTGGCTTAGCTAGAGAAATGCTAATACTGTAGTTAGAAAGAAATCGTTGTTATGTTTTTGGGAGAGTTCTCCTCAATTATCGTTATGTGGTTCGAATGAGTTAAACAAAGACGAAGCCAATGGTTATGTTAATAAAAGTTCGTTTATTAATAATCCGGACTCATCTTTTGTGTTACAAGAAGAGGAACAGGTTAAACCAAACCCCGAACCTCCTCACAGAATGGAGCAGGCTACTTTCAAGAGCTGCCTGTTTCATGTTTTGCCCGGTTGATACAGCACAATGTGTGATCACCTTTTACAAAAACAACTTATGCACTTGTGAAAAACAAGCCCATTTAGAACCACATGCACCTGTGTCAACACTAAAAAAAAAGCAGAAATTTTCAGGGACTATAGCAGGGTTAGTTTGCAGCAGCAAAATTAAAGCATCTTGTGGCCCCCTTAAAAATTAACCATTTGGCAGGAGCTTCCATGTTAACGTAGGAGCAGGTAATGCCTTTATTGGACGATGGAGAAAATAAAGCAAAAAACATCAGCAAGCTTTCAATGAGAATTCATCCTCCTCAGGCTGTGCACCAAGTTCTCCTGGGTAGCTCCAAAATTATACATTTATATTGAAGTCACAAAAGTTTCATGGCTGTTGTCGGGGGCCATGATCTAAAATATTGTTTGGATGTTTGTCCAGCACATTCCACTTTTTGGCATCAATTTTTATTAAGAAGTCCTTGTTCTGTTCCATTCCATTCTGCCTTTTACCTAGTCCTAAAAGAATATGTCATATCTGCAGTTGTTAAGTGCTGGCAAGTCAGAACAGACTTATAACAACTCTAATATGGCTTTCAAGGTAAGTGAGATATTTCAGGAGTAGTTTTACCAGTTCCACTCCCCCATTTACTTTCCATGGCTGAGTGAGAATTCGAACCCTGGCCTCCAGAGTCCTCCTCCATCACTCGTTCCCCCTACTACACCACACTGGAGATCTACAAAAAGCTTCTGCTCCATAAAATCGGAGCCTTTGCGGTGCCGCAAAACTCCTTGCTTTTAACCTAAAAGCTGAGATGTTTTAAAGTTTGTAGAGTACAGGCGTCCAGAAGGCATTTGCCATCAGGAAACTGCTTTGGCTGCCGTTCTCCATTCCATTTACTCCAGCGGCAACCACATGCGCCAACACACGCAACACGTGTAAAAAAAATGCCCGAGGACGAAAATGCTTTCCTGATTCGAGCATCCACGGCTCAGGAACACACCGGTGGCCAGCTACATCACTCCAGTTGCTCTTGGACTGCCATGTCCATTCGCCCCCGACCTGCAAAACCAACGGCCCCATTGTCCTCCATCCCACCCCGGCTTTAGAACTCTGGTGAACCTCCACGGGTTGGTCCAAAGTCCCCACCCCACCCCACACACCCCCAGTTCTTCCCTATTTCCAAAGGCATCTAGGCTAAAAACTGAACACGTTTTGAAATTTCATGACCCCATTGCGCTATTTGCTTATAAAAGGAAGATACTAAAATTGCTTATCAAAACGTTTATAAATCAGGATTTGGTTTGAACAAGGTACTACCACCGCCAGAAACGAGAGACCTGTACCGCAGTTCTTCCTCAAGGCCTGAAATGTAGGTAAACCAGACAATTTGGGGGGAAGGTGGAGTAATGCTCTTAATTCAGATCCCAAGGCAATTCCATGTCCAGTTTAAGCAGGATCCTAGCTAGCATGAACGGTGGTTCACATCAACCACCTCCCCAAGAGAATTCCAAACAACGGTTAAGGCAGCATTGAGTTTCAGGGAACAGATCCTTGCTTCTAGGCATGCAAAAGGTGGTCAGAAGGCACGCACGAACCCGGCACCTATTTCTATCTCTTGAACCTCCCATTACAATGAAGTTTGTATGCTCTTGGTTACTTCTTCAACAAACCCCATGCTCCTTTGTCAATCTTCTCACGCCAATAAAGGTTCACGCTTCGCCACGGCCACCGCTTTCACCCAAAACCAGAATCCTCTTTATGCTCCAAAGGTTGGGAAAGTTACTTTTTCATATGCCATGCCAGCGAGGGAACATGGGGAGTAAATTGGTCAATAAAGGTGATACACTTTTTTGCTACCTAGCAAAAACAATGAAGGGGAGGGGAACCAAACACAACAAACAGCCTCGAAGTGGGGTCTCCAGCAAAGAAACCAATGCCCAAACTTTCCTGCACAGCAAAAGCTTCAGAAATGTTCTAGACCGAGGCAGGAAGCCTAAAAAGTGCCCCTCTCTCTCCTGATCCTACAGCAGGGACCAGACGGATGGTCTAATCTGAAAAAGGGAGCATGGCTGCCTGGCCAGGTGGCAAACCAGGCCCCACGAACCTATGGAAAGAGATAATCTGAGCAGCACGATTTATTCTTCCAGTGTTGATTTCATGGCAGGAAAGGGAGAGTCGCCTTTTACTCTCTTGGAGCACGGCATATTTATTTTACATCCCCATCATGGCTTGCAACCTGCGATGGGAGGCAGGAAGGCAGCTCACGGCCACATCATGCGGACGCCTTAGATGCTCAATTGTATCAGCTCCCGTGCGAGCATCACAGGCTGCACAATTAGGTAGCATTTAGAAAAAGGCACAATTTATTTGGTGACTGGGGGGGGGACGAGGAAGGGGGCAAGACAGATGGTTTAAGTGGGTAGAAGAAATTAAAAAACCACCCCCTCCTCCCTTCCTCAGGTTAGGACAAAGCAATATACAGTGGTGCCTCGCTTAACGGGTGCCCCGTTTAACGACAAAACCGCATAGTGACGAAGATTGTTCCCTATGGGAAAAAATCGCTTTGCGATGATCGGTACCCTGTTTCGCTTACCGATCATTGCAAACGATGATTTTTTAACAGCTGATCAGCGGTTCCAAAATGGCCACCGGGCAAACAAAATGGCCACCCGCTGTGTTTTCACGCCGATTCCTCGGTTATCGGGCAGTGAAAATGGCGGCCATATGGAGGATTTTCCCTTTAAGGTGTGTTTTAAGCCTATAGGAACGCATTGAAGGGGTTTCAATGCATTCCTATGGGCTTTTTTAAATCGCATAGCGACGAAATCACTTTGCAGTGATTTTTGCTGCACGGATTATCGTCGCTATGCGGGGCACCACTGTACAGTTCATGGGGTGCCTCTACCTTGCAAATCCTTCCATTCAATAAACCTAGAGGTGGTGGCAGGGAGGTCCTCTAAAACAGCAATTGGGAAACTGAGGCCATGTTGTTGCACTGCAACTCCTACTGGCCCTAGCCAGCCCAGCCCATGGACCGGGCTAATGGGAGTCACGGTCTGCAAGTTGCCCACCATTGCTCTGGAAGAAAAGCCTAGATAGGACAGGTCTCAAAGTCCACTGGCTCAAAACCTCCTGGAGGCACGGCTGGGCAATTAAGGGCGAAGAGAGGAACGAGAAAGGGAGAGAGTAAGAGAGAGTCGGGTTTTGAACTCAAAACCTTTTGAGTTGCAGAACAACAGATTCCGTGACCTGAGTGTTAATCATTGAGAGAAGAACGGCACAATACTGGGTGTGTGCATTTTCCTTCCTCCCTAGCCTCAGGAAATCATTGTGGCTTTTCCTAGCAGGGTCTTCCCCGCCTGCGTCTATTTTTTCCAGGCTAAGGGGCAAGCATTTGGGAAGAACCTGAAAGCAAAAAAGAGCCACATTCAGAAAACCAAGTCCTTAGAGAAAAGAAGTTTCTTCTAAGGAACGAAAATGGTGTTGCTCACGAATTTTTTTTAAAAAGGGAGGTAAAAAGGAAGGGGGGGGATGCTTCATTCTGCAGGGGCTTTCTGCCAGTGAAAAGAATCCCACTTTATTCATGGCCACACATGGCAGGGTCTGTCCCTATTGCAGCTGAAGTTAATAAGGAAAAGACGAGAAAGAAAACATCCTTGTGTCTATTTATTTTAGACAAAGAGGGCTTTTATCAAGTTTAAGTGTTTTTTTTTAAAAAAAAAAACTGGCAGTGTAGGATTTTCTTATGATCAGTCAAGACAGATTCCTTTTTTTTTAAAGGCACGCAGATTGAGAAGTGCTTATATAAAAAGACAAGAGAAGAAGGCAAGAGAACCATTACGCTACGGTATAAAGATGTCCGGAATGGATGCGTTACCGAGCCCTTAAGAGGTTTATTTGTTGTTTTAAAAGTCTACTTTCTGTTTGACTAGTACAAATGCTATCTTCTACCCATGCACAAAACAACAGGTGAGTCAGATTTCTGACCCTGAATGGAATCATGTTAACTCATCCGTCAACTGACTGAATAATTGGGATTTTTTAGAGAAAAGGGAAAGGAAAAACAATCTGTCTCCAAAGCAGAAATTAGGATGTTACAGATTGAAGTACCAGTATTAATAGTTCAGAAAGGCTGCACTGGAGGCCAGTTCAAAATCAGAGATGGACACGAACCTCGATTCGAAGGTTTCTGCTGGTTTGTTGGCTCGGCACACATTCCCTTCCCTCACCCACGCCCATCTGGCTCCCCAACTCACCAGCAGCAGGAGCACAGACTTCCCTTCTTTGCCTCCTCCAGCAGCTGCTCAGTCAGAGGTGGAGCAGGGATTCCTACAGTGCTGCCTTTGAGTGGGCAGCTGCTGGAGGAGGCAAAGAAAAGAAGTCTGTGCTTCTGCTGCGATTAGACAATCACACAAAGAGCAGGAGAAAAGCTGCGTGCACTGGCCAGTGACTGCGGAGGCCGGCTGGGGGAAGGGAAGGAAATTTGCCGAAACTATGGTGCCAAGTTGGCGAACCGGCACAAACTTCCGAACCAAAGTTTGTGCCCACATCTATTCAAAAGATATACAAGCTCAGGGCTTGGAAGGCCTGGGGTCTTTTTGTTTGCTTTTTATCTTACATGCCCCAGAATCTCCCAGGCAATATGACCACTGGGGGACTCTGGGAACTGTAGGCCAACTAGCTCTTCCATGCTCTGAGTAAACCACTGAATACAGTACGATTTTCCTATACAAGTTATTTGCGTCAAGTTTTTTTTCATTTTTAAACAGAATGCATCTGTATCTCAGTTGGGGAAAAAAGCTAGAAATGCTTTTGACTTAGAACTTCCACAGATTGCCCTCCCCGTCCCCAACACAACCTGGAGTAATACTGAGGGCTCTGTCTGGTGCAGGAAATGCTTCTTCAGAGATGATGCCCCTTAAGGGTAAACAGTTACAATATCTGGACCAAGCCATTGAGATAATAGTAGTTACTCCGAGTGCAAGAAATAAAAATCATAAAATAAAATAACCATCCCTGCAGAAGAAAATTGTTCCCTTTTAAATAGTTACAAAGAACAGAGGGGAAGGGGGGGGCAAATACCCCAGGGGCAAAGTTTGGTCATGCAGGAGGCACTTCCTCCGCTCGTTTGTATAAACTTTGCACACACAAAAATAGATATATGTACATACATACACACACTGCAGGAGACCACCTTAAGTACAGTGCATTCTTTGTAGGTCTAAAAAAGGAGGATTCGCATCTGGTTCCAGTCTGCACCAGGATGGGACATGGCTGTGCTTCTTTCAGTGGAAGTAGCCGAGCTTCTCTCGAAGCCACTCCTCGGTGAGGTCTTCCGTGTTCCGGATTTCAAACACCTTGTTTCAGAAACAGAGAGGCAACATGAGACACTGTCAACGAGAAAGGGCAGCAGAGAACGGAACCTTCCCGATGTCGTGTTTTAACCCGTTGTCAGTTTCTTTAAAAATACAGTGGTGCCTCGTTCCAGCGAAATCGCTGTACAGCAAAAACGCTGTCAAAAGAAACAAAAAAGCCCATTGAAACACATTGAAAACCCTTCAATGTGTTCCAATGGGCTCAATACCTGCTCATTTTGCAAAGATCCTCCATACGGCAGCCATTTTCAGTGCCTATAAAGCGAGGAATCCGTCCCTAGAAAACAGCGGGGGCCATTTTGAAAGCCGCCGATCTGCTGTTCAAAAATCATCGTTTTGTGAAGAGTTGGTTCCCGAAGCAGGGAATCGATCATTGCAAAGCTGTCGGGATCTGCAGATCCCGAACCATCGCAAAGTGAAAAAACCCCATTTAAAACATCGTTTAGCTATCGTTTTGCAATCGCAAAAACTTCATCGTAAAGCGATTTCCTCGTTAAGTGAGGCAATCGTTAAATGGGGCACAACTGTAATGCGTTGTCCCAAACTGAGCCCCAGTTTTTGGGGGAAAGGCAGGAAAGTCAACAAACAAAAGGAATAAATATATCTAAAGGGGCACAGGCTTAGCTCGGCAGGGAGTGACCCAGCTTAGAAAAGTTATTTTTTTTATATAGATCATTCCAGGAATATCTATGCGGTCTAGAGAGACTGTGATGGTTGGGGTCCAAAAAATTTACGTTTCCAAGCTCTGGGACTGAGGAATGGGTAGGATTCCAAGGCCAGATGAGACGTCTCCTGGATACCTATGACTGTCAAGGATGGAAAAGGAGGCATTTTGGCCGAGCTAAATATGACACCATGGAAGGGAAGGAGGGGGGAAAAATCTGCAGCAACTGCCACACGGCATTAACGTCAACTCAGCCCGCCTTTACAGCTATCGATTCACACACTGATTTAAATGCATAGATGGGAGGAAAACTGGAAAGGCCCTCAAATCAATAACTTAGGACAAATCAACCTAGCATGAAGCTGTTGTGGCATTTGAAACAGCAGGCAGGGCTCGTTTGGCCGTGTTTTGGGCACCCACTTTCGGGTGGGGAGAACAGAATGGGAGGGAGGTAAAGCATCATCAGAAACAACCTCGTTACGAATGGCTACAAAATGTGTCACTGCTCGATCAAAGGGATAAGGGCATAATAGATGCTTTTTCAAAAGCCTGAATAGTTGTTCCATCTTTTGAAAGCCTGGAGCACACAAGGAAGAATGCAGGAAAGATTTAAGGCAAGCTCCTTGCCCAGAGACGGCTTTCGCAGGGGTTGTGGGCTAGACAACTTGCACGGTGCCTATTAGACACCTTAGCAGTGGCAAGCAGATTGGGGGAAGCTTTCCCTGGCAAGGAGTCAGCTGGCTTCGCTCTTATGACCACAAAGATCAACTTCACACTGGGAGATATTTCTCCGTCCCTTTTTACGCTGGAGCCTAATTTGATGTCTCCGTACAAGTTTGTTGCTCTTTGCTGCCACTTGTACTATTTTGTTATTTCATACTGTTTTTAGCTGGTGTTGATGCTGTGGTGGTTCTAATTTCCTTTGGGTTTACTGCCCAGAGTAGTGGATTCCCACTAAGACAGGTGGTATACGAGTTAAATAAAATAAAACAAACAAATAAATAATTGGACTTCTGTAATGCACTCTGCAGAGGATAACCTCAAAAAGACCCTTGGTAACTAGTGTCAGTGCCAACTTTGGGGGTGTAGGCATCCTTCCGTCTCGAGAGACGATGGTAACAGGCACTGTATGGAGGTCTTGTGTCTAGTGTGGCTGAGAAGGCCAATTCGAGAGTGAACATCCCTTCCACACTGAGGACAAATACACTCTGTTCCCTGTCCAGCTCCCTGGCTTGGCTGCTTTTGGGACTGCCTCTTTGCCTCGGCCTGCAGGACCTTGGGAGAGGTCATGATGCACCACCTGCCTCCAGGCTGAACGCTCAGATGTCAAGGTTTCCCATCTGTTGAGGTCCATTCTTAAGGCCTTCAGATCCCACTTGCGGTTCTTGTATTGCAGCTGTGGTCTCCCTCTGGAGAGATTTCCCTGCACTAGTTCTCCATACAGGAGATCTTTTGGAATCTGATCATCAGCCATTCTCACGACATGCCCAAGCCAATGTAGACATCACCGTTTCAGTCATGTATACATGCTAAAAATTACAGCTCTAAAAATTCCAACTTTGGGGGATGGGCTGTTGTTTGGCATGTACTTAGAGATCAGATGTTTCAGTTCCTGCTAGAGGTGGGCCATTCAGGTTTTTTTGGACTCCAACTCCCAAAAGTCTCCAAGAATTCTGGGAGTTCCAGCTCACACACCTACGTGTCGCTCATGTGGACCACAGCCTATCCCAGGCCTTGTTTCCTTATGCCAATGTAGTGGCAAGCAGATTGGGGGAAGCTTTCCCTGGCAAGGAGTCAGCTGGCTTCGCTCTTATGACCACAAAGATCAACTTCACACTGGGAGATATTTCTCCGTCCCTTTTTACGCTGGAGCCTAATTTGATGTCTCCGTACAAGTTTGTTGCTCTTTGCTGCCACTTGTACTATTTTGTTATTTCATACTGTTTTTAGCTGGTGTTGATGCTGTGGTGGTTCTAATTTCCTTTGGGTTTACTGCCCAGAGTAGTGGATTCCCACTAAGACAGGTGGTATACGAGTTAAATAAAATAAAACAAACAAATAAATAATTGGACTTCTGTAATGCACTCTGCAGAGGATAACCTCAAAAAGACCCTTGGTAACTAGTGTCAGTGCCAACTTTGGGGGTGTAGGCATCCTTCCGTCTCGAGAGACGATGGTAACAGGCACTGTATGGAGGTCTTGTGTCTAGTGCAGCTGAGAAGGGAGGACAAATACACTCTGTTCCCTGTCCAGCTCCCTGGCTTGGCTGCTTTTGGGACTGCCTCTTTGCCTCGGCCTGCAGGACCTTGGGAGAGGTCATGATGCACCACCTGCCTCCAGGCTGAACGCTCAGATGTCAAGGTTTCCCATCTGTTGAGGTCCATTCTTAAGGCCTTCAGATCCCACTTGCGGTTCTTGTATTGCAGCTGTGGTCTCCCTCTGGAGAGATTTCCCTGCACTAGTTCTCCATACAGGAGATCTTTTGGAATCTGATCATCAGCCATTCTCACGACATGCCCAAGCCAATGTAGACATCACCGTTTCAGTCATGTATACATGCTAAAAATTACAGCTCTAAAAATTCCAACTTTGGGGGATGGGCTGTTGTTTGGCATGTACTTAGAGATCAGATGCTACGGTTCCTGCTAGAGGTGGGCCATTCAGGTTTTTTTGGACTCCAACTCCCAAAAGTCTCCAAGAATTCTGGGAGTTCCAGTTCACACACCTACGTGTCGCTCATGTGGACCACAGCCTATCCCAGGCCTTGTTTCCTGATGCCAATGTACAAAAAAAGGAAAATGCTCCCTAGGAGTTGTAGTCCTCTGGGAGGTGCTTTCCTATACAGCCTAAACGACAACAAGATCATGACTCTCGGGAAGCACTGCAGAAGCTTCCTTTTTGGTGCATTAACAAGGTGCAAGGCCCAAGACGGCCACTGTAGCCTCGGAGGTAGGCTCTGATCCAGGTGAGCGCAATGCAGTTGTCTAAGAATTAAACAAACACAAACACAAACACAAACACAAACAAACACACACACACACACACACACACACCCTCTCCACCAATTCCACTGGCTTTCAATTTCTTTCCAAACTCAATTCAGAGTTATGGTCCTCACCCAAAACCCTTATACTGCTTGGAGCCTGGATAACTGAAAGATCATCTCCACCTGCAGGAGCCTGGCTTCAGCAGAAGTCCCCAAGTGTGTCCCCACCACCTTAAGAGGCTAGGTTGGTGAATTCAAGAGACAAAGCTTTTTCTGGAGCAGTCTTTTGATTATGGAACGTCCCACCCCAAAAGGCAGGGCAGGCAGACAGGCATCCTTGTTGAGCTTCCGGCTGCCAGTCAAAACTGTATTATTTCATCTAGCACTTAAAACAGGCTTTTGAAATTGTTTGTACAGAGGTTTCCTTAAATTGCATTTTATTATCTACCCCTCTGGGGGTTCTGATGGGCAAAAATGTGATTCATAAATACTTTGAATAAGTAAATAACAGAAAGCCACGTTCGGAGTGCTTCCAACCAGAGGTTTGCTAGCACAACGCGGACCTCTCTCTGTGTTTTCTCACTATCCACATACATCTTAGCGGTGTGTGTCTGTGTCTTCTCACTATCCACCAAAAATGTGATTCATAAATACTTTGAATAAGTAAATAACAGAAAGCCACGTTCGGAGTGCTTCCAACCAGAGGTTTGCTAGCACAACGCGGACCTCTCTCTGTGTTTTCTCACTATCCACATGCATCTTAGCGGATGTGTGTTTGTGTGTTATCCACATACAGCTCTTTAATTAACCAAAGCAGAATAAACATAATTTTGCCTAACCGCAAAGCAATGTTTCCAACGGTGTAATCCAAACGTCAAAGTTTAGTTTTCCTTTGGAATAGGGTTGGGGATGTTTTTAAATTTTTCTTTGTAATTACCAAATTATACCCATCACACTCTGTGCTTAAAACTGACCAAAGAGTTCAACAACAGGGAAAGAAAGAAATACGTTCAAGCAGTGTCCTGATTTTACCTTTGTGAGTTCCGCTGTCTGTACTAGCTTGTTTTTGCTACCAGCGTACATCATTTGCTGCTCAGGCTTACACCCTGCAATAAGAGGAAGGGAGAGGCAGGAAGGGAGGAGAGGCAGGCAGAGACAAGGCGAAAATCATATTACAAAGTCTGTTTTACAAGGAAGCCCTCCTGCAGTCAAACCTGGTTCCTTTTCTCCCAAAGGTTTGGGTCCAAGCTATCTCCCTGTACGAGCCTGCCTGGGTGTTAAGATCATCAAGGAAGGTCATTCTCTCTTAGTCCCACCATCATCACAGGTGTGTCTGGTGGGGACACTGGAGCAGGAAGGGAGGAGAGGCAGGCAGAGACAAGGCGAAAATCATATTACAAAGTCTGTTTTACAAGGAAGCCCTCCTGCAGTCAAACCTGATTCCTTTTCTCCCAAAAGTTTGGGTCCAAGCTATCTCCCTGTATGAGCCTGCCTGGGTATTAAGATCATCAAGGAAGGTCATTCTCTCTTGGTCCTACCATCATCGCAGGTGTGTCTGGTGGGGACACCAGAAAGGGCCTTCTCTGTGGCTGCTCCCAGACTCTGGAACTCCCTCCCACTGGATGGCCGACTGGCCCTGTCTTTGCTGTCCTTCTGCAAGCAGACAAAGACCTTCCTCTTCTGCCAAGCTTTCCTTTAAATGACTGGTTGACAAAGCAAATTTTATGAAAGGATCATTTCCTTCTGTGTCTTTACTTGTGTTTTTAACATTGCTCTTCTCGTTCAATATAGTATCCCTCCTTATAATATTGTAGTAATTTATTATTTAGCTTAAAACTTTTATTTATTTATTTATTTATTTATTTATTTATTTATTTGTTTGTTTGTTTGTTTGTTTGATTTATATACCGCCCATCTGGCACTCTGGGCGATTTACAACAAATATCAACAACAACAACAAAAAAAAACAGAGTAAGCTGCCTTAGAATATATACTGCCCATCTGGCAGCCAAGGTCATTCTGGGTGATTTACCAAAAATAACAAACAAACAAACAACAACAAAAACCCAACTGAGTAAGCTGCCTTAGAATCTTTAGGAAAAAAGCAGCATATAAGTATTTTAAACTAATAAATCGCTCCCATGAGCATTGGTCAGAAAATGGTAAGGAATAACGGGCGTTGAAGCCCAGCGACATCCGGAGGTGCTTCGGTTTCCTCCTCTACTAGAGATATTACTGCTACGAGTGTCTCTAGGTTTCGGTTAAGCCAACGAAGAGGCCTGCTTTTCTCACCCAGGGCGATGGGAGTCCCCAGAAGCCTTTCTTGTCTCCCACTCCAACCCTTCGGGATCACCATGCATCTCCGATTCCCAGCAGTCGACATCCAAGGACATGCATGGGGCACCACACGTTGGGATATGTTTATCCACCTATTCCTCCAAATTTTATACCATTTGTGCCCAAGGGCGATCTCTGCAGATCCTTTTAAAACTCAACTCAAAAGTTTGAGTTGGGTTGTGGAGGCCAACAACACAACTCAAACTTTGGTTCTGCGGATAGACAGCCCAGCTTTTCTCTCCCATCCCTCTCGCTTTAGAATTTGTCGTCCGGCTCCTTTCCTTTTGAAGGCACATACATTTCTGTACCTGCAGCAAACCCCAGCAGGGTTTAAAAGCTGCCCTTGAATCAGACCAAGAAGTCAAGAGACTTGAAAGGCCACCTCCTCCCCCAGATTTGCCTGTAATCTTATAACCTTATTCCTGAAGCCCCATTATATGGCACGTCAACACTCCCTCGCTAGGGAGAAAAGATTAGCTCTTTTGCTCTTCGGTTTCCAGCAGCAGTGAAGACATTCCTCTTCCAATCAGCATTTCCTGAATTTTAAAGACTGACATCCGATTTTATTCTCAAAGTTTTTTTATACTGCATTTTCAATTCTGGTTTTGTTTTAATAGTTGTTTGTTCACCACCTTGTACACCACTCGGACGGACTTCCTGTAAACAAGTCTATGCACATTCTAATAAACACATCTGCGATATAGATTTGTATAGCCGGGAGAGCAAAACCGCCATTGTTCTATCTGAGTGTTAAGCTCTTACGACATATTTGCTGAAGTCAACATGTGCCAATTCTATTTACAAAACCGAAAAGTGTTAAAGCAGGCCATATGTTTTACCCAGTGCCACAGCTTGCTAGAACAGATGCAACAGCAATGCTAAGCATCCATAAGAATGTTCTACAAAACACTGCTAAGTTCTATGTACAGGTTTCCAGCATTTGCAGAATTCCTGGTAGATTTGACTGCGATAATCCTCATAGGACATTAGCTTGAGAAGAACACTAGCTATAACCACCCTTAGGGCTACAAAACACTGCTAAGTTCTATGTACAGATTTCCAGCATTTGCACAATTCCTGGTAGATTTGACTGCGATGATCCTCATAGGACATTAGCTTGAGAAGATCACTAGCTATAACCACCCTTAGGGTGTATCTACACATACACAAGGTACAGACAAGAGAGAATTATTGCTGGATAGCTCAATGGTTCAGGCATCTGGCAGCGAAGCCAGTGGTTGGGAGTTTGATTCCCCCACCTGGCCTCCTTGAGGGTCCCTTCCAGCTTCAAACATACCAGAAAGTCAATCAAAATTATGAAAACATTGACGGGTATGTATATAACAGATACAAAGTTTTAACCAAAAATCTAAGTATCTAAATCAAATATCTGACTTTTCTGTTTATTCTCTCCTTATGTATTTTCTATTCTATTGTTGTATTCTGTTTATTACAATATGATTTATGTAATTGTTTGTGTTTATGGGCTTTTTAAAATCGCTTAGTGATGAGATCGCTTAGCAGCAATTTTTGCTGCAAGGATTAACGTCGCTAAGTGAGGCAGCACTGTATCTACACATACACAAGGTACAGACAAGAGAGAATTATTGCTGGATAGCTCAGTGGTTCAGGCATCTGGCAGCGGAGCCAGTGGTTGGGAGTTTTATTCCCCCACCTGGCCTCTTTGAGGGTCCCTTCTAGCTCTGCAGCTCAAAGATTATGTTGACGATGATTCAACATACCAGAAAGTCAATCAAAATTATCAAAACATTGACCGGTATGTATATAATAAAGTTTTAACCAAAAACCTAAGTATCTGTTAAATATCGGTGCAGTATGTATGCTGTTCCTCATACTGCCATTTTTTTTGGTAGCTCTGATGGTGTGATTTCTGAGATCTGCAATAGTATTGAGTGAAATTTCTTGATATTGTTCCCAAACCCCAATGCCTATGGGGACCACTGAAGTGTGTTTCTTCCAGAGGCAAGATGTTTTAATTGCCGGGTCTCTGTACTTGGTTAGTTTTTCCAATTATTTGTTTCCAACTCCAGCATTCCCTAGAATTGCAACGTCAATAACTTCAGGGACCACTGAAGTATGTTTCTTCCAGAGTTGAGATGATTTGATGGCCAGGTCTCTGAATTGCGTTAATTTTTCCAGTTCTTTATTTTCAACTCTAGAATCCTCTGGATGGTGACAATGATCATCATCATAATCACAACCATGACTATTACTATTAAATTGGGTGAAAGCTCAGAAAGCATATATACTGTATTTTTCCATGTATAAGACTACATTTTGTCTAAAATATTTATAGACTAAAAATTGAGGGTCGTCTTATACACGGAAGTCAGCTGAGGAGGAAAAAACCAAGTGTAGGGGAAAGCAGGGATCAAAGTGATCCTGCAGGGCTTTGATCCCTGCTTTCCCCTCCACTTGCTAAGCCTTAGCAAAAGGAGGGGGGAAGGATCAAAGCAATCCCGTGGCTGTATAAAGGGAAAAGGGATCAAAATAATTGTGCAGTTGTGGAATTGCTTTGATCCCTTTCCCCCTCCTTTTGCTAAGCCATGCGGGGCTTAGCAGAAAGGGAAAAAGCAGGGATCAAAGCCATCCTGCAGCACTTTGATCCTACATTTGCTAAGCCCCACTTAGATTTCTTAATTTTGGGTTAGAAAAGTGGGGGCATCTTACACAGGGGGGCATCTTATACACGGAAAATGTGGTACTTTGAAGTGAGTGATGGTAGTGAATAAATAATTTACTCCTCGGTTTTTCTCTTCTTGGCCTAGTCAGCAGCCAGCTGGACCTCAGAAGAGCTCCATGTTTGCCAAGTGGAGGCCCTGGTCACTGGCTATACCCAGACTTTCTATGCCGTAGTCCAGTAGTTCCCAATCTTGGGTGGCCCAGATGTACTTGGACTGCAACCCCCAGAAACCTCGGCCAGCACAGCTGGTGATGAAGCCTTCTGGGAGTTACAGCCCAAGGACACCTGGGTTTGCCCAAGGCTGGGAACCCCTGCCAGAGAAAGGAGAGAGATGGGAAAGAGAAGAATACATCATCCCACTTTTTTCTGCTCCTCCCCTTCTCCTGCCTCTCACTCCTTGCTCTGCCTGCCACTTTCTCCTTCCTTCTAGAGATACCCGTTTTTATCAGAGAGACAAGAGGAGACCACGTCTAGAAGGCCTTCAAATGGTCCTTCAGGAGTCTACAACATCACACATTTCACTCGGCCAATCCAAGCCCGAATTTGAGGGCAACCTGCTTCCTCTGTACCCGTGAGAAGTTTCCAGCCTAGGCAGGTGTCAGCAGTGGCATTATATTTCTACCTGCACCATAAGCCTGGCATGGATTGAACTTACCAACCGGGCTGGAGAAGATGAAACAGAGCGGATAAGAAACCCTTCCATCATCATGCTGGTACTTGTAGCTGTAGACGATGAATGTTTCCCTAAGGTTAAAGAAAATGAACAGAGAGGCCGAGAAGAAAGGGAGGCACAAGTTCTTCACAACGCTGCCTGCTACAATCTAGATCTTAACTCCCAAAAATGATGGATGTCAAGTATATATTGCAACATTTCGTACAGAGGTAGTTAAAATTCAGACTGCAAGAGCCCGTCTCAAGGGTTTCTTGGTGGTCCAGGTACCTGCAAATTCCCTACAATGAAAAGAAAATCCCAATAACAACTGGCCCACAGGAACAGCAGTTTCATGCGCAATCATCTCCAGCAAACTATGGCAAAAAACCCACACACAAAAAAACACCCAGTGCTCTACATGAGCACCTCAGCGCCTCCCACCCTGATCTATTTTCAAGTGTTTTGAAGTTTCAGGGTAATGCAGCCCTCGATGGGTCTTAGGGACAGAGAAATCAGCCAGTAGACCACAGAAGCATGTTTGTTTTTGAATCAAGGCCTTTTAAAAAGGTAGTCGATTAAAGAAGTACTTGATTGTTTTAGCAGATTAAACTTTGTTTAATATCTGTTTTTTCAAAATGGCAGAAAACTAGCCACCCATCAAAAACAGACAACTTTCTCATACCTAGAAGTGTCTTTGGAAGCCACCTTCCCCGAACCTTGTGTCCTGCTAATGCACTGAGACTACAATTCCCAGAGTACCTCAGCTACTTCTTTTGGAATTCTGGGAGTTGCAGTCCAGCACAATGGGAGGGCCCCAAGTTGAAGGAGGCTTCTTTAAGATTCCGAGCGCTGCTAATACACAGGCATCATGCAATTGGCCAACGGATATGTGCTACCTGATTCTGACATGCTGTTTTTCCTTACAAGCAATTGTTGTTTTTGGAAAATAAAAAAACTAATTAAAAACTGATGAACATTTCCCAAGTACACTGTTCGCTACATCCTTCCATCAGCAGTTCCATCCCACACAGACATTAACTTAGGAAGGTCTGTTGTGTTCCCAAGGAGACACTCATGGACGTTTGGAAATTAACATTCACAACTAGTGGTCACACGAAGAATCTGAAATTCCTGCTTGGTGGAAGTTATATTTCATGAGTTCCTGCCTCTGAGAAGCACATGGCTCTCCTGGAAATGCTTATCTTTTCATATACAGGTAATCTACCAAACTCGCACACCTGTTGGCCATTAGTCCCATAGAGAGATGCTCATCAGGTAACTTCTAGAACAAAGGGAGGAAACCTCTAGACCAAGAGCAGATGAGGTCTGCAGGAGTTCCCCATCAAGTGCGCAAATTTCTTTGCCTGTTATCTCTGATCAAAAGAAAGCAGCACACACTGCTTCCGGTAAGATGTCTTGCTTTATGGCTATGTTATCAGAGGCCAATACATGCACATTGGTCCAAATCCTGTTGCGGGTTTTGAACATCATGTCGTTAGAAAGGCAATGGCCTAACGTGCCTTGGCAAATGGATTAAAGAGTCCCCACTTGGGTTCCTAGTTGTGTGCCAAGCCATCCAAGGAGGAATCCAACCAGCGACTTATTAATTAGCGGCAATTTGCTGCTGCCAGTTAAGCCATTGCCCTTCCGCCAGCATAACTCAGCAACAGGATCCCAGCCACAGCATACATACATCGAGGAATCCAACCAGCGACTTATTAATTAGTGGCAATTTGCTGTTGCCAGTTAAGCCATTGCCCTTCCACCAGCATAACTCAGCGACAGGATCCTAGCCACAGCATACATACATCCACATTATACCCACATGTGTATATATTTATTTATTCGATTTTTACCCCGCCCCTCTAGACAACGTCTACTCCACATTATATTCGCATGCATACCCCCTAAATATCCCAGGCAGACCAAAGGATATGCCACATTAGATTGCCCTTCCACCAGCATAACTCAGCGACAGGATCCTAGCCACAGCATACATACATCCACATTATACCCACATGTGTATACCCTAAATATCCCAGGCAGACCAAAGGATATACCACATGTCACAGCCTGAAACAGAGACAGAACTAGATATTTTACCAGAGCTTAGAAATATTACATTTTGGGCTACTCAGAATGTCCTTGGGTGGGAGATTCTAAGAGCGTTAGTCCAAAAAAAAAAAAGTCAATTTTTCCAAGCTCTGGCTCTTACCCACATTATGAAATCCTGCCTTCCCTGGGCATCTCTACAGAGCATGGATGAGTTACACACCCATTATGTTGCCTTGCCTTACATCAGGGCCCATTGTAGTCCATCAGATTACACCTTCCTAGGCACAAAGACAGATAACACACAGAGGTTTTCTAAATCTAACACCTTCTGTGCCCCTCTCCCCAACAGAAAGGATATCGAGGTTGCCGTTCTGGAAGCTCATCTTTTAGTTCATCTGGAGAAATGCCCTGGGGAGATTAAACCAAAACCAGACAGTCAATAACTTCAGAGAGAGGCACACGGCCTCTGCCACGGGACAGGATCCCCTACAAACCTCATGTTCTTCGTCCAGAACCACCAGCTGCTTGTCCTTATCAATCTTCACTGTAAGAGGGGAAACGGAAGAAAAGGTGAGTTTCAGGTTTACGGAAGAAACCGCCACACTGAGTGTGCTTCCCCTCGTTCAAGAGCATCTGCTTTCCTGGCTGTTTGGACTGGAAAGCCACAAATAGAAGGGATTCCCTTCTCTAATGCAGTCCTTTAGCAGAAGCTGCACTGCCTTAACACGGAAAGTCAACCTGAACCCACAGTTCATGCTTTGCTATTAGAAACGTGCTTTGCATTTTGACCCATGCTTCTTAAACCTCATTCCCTTTTACTGAAAGATCTGGTTGTATCCATTTTCATATCACAAATAACTTCCTATCTGATGGTGGTTGTAAGTTTTTCAGGCTGCTTGGCCGTGTTCTGGAGGTTTTTCTTCCTAACATTTCACCGGTCTCTGTGGCCGGCACCTGGCGACATGTTAGGAAAGAAAACCTCCAGAACACGTCCAAACAGCCCGAATAACCTACAACCACCATCGGATCCCGGCTGCGAAAGCCTTCGAGAACAGAACTTCCTATCTGCTGGTAAGAATCTGTTTGCCTTCAGGTCTGCCACTGAATCCTTACAGGCCGATTTTGCCAGGTTGTGTTCCAGCCAAGGTAGACTCAACAGCCTTTCCCAGTCACAATCCTACCTATGATAACCACCTCTTAGTGGCGCCACCCTATTCTGGAATTTCCTTCCATTAAAGATCCAGCCGTCCGTGTGTGTCTTCCCCCCCGCAGCCCCGGTTAAATGCTATTACACATTTTGTACATTACTGATTTTACTTAGAGTGCACTCTGCTGTAGAGTGCAATATAAATAAATATTATTATTATATTTCTGTCTTTTCAGGAACCAATAAAGACATAAGTATTGGTACAAACCATCAGAGAAATAAGCACATATTTGATCAAACTCTTCCCACCATTCATTTGTATTGCTTTTGTTGAATTTCGCAGTTTGCAATTTTGATATTTCTTGCATGCAAATTTAACGGTGTGCTTTTATGGCTGTGGGGGGGATGTACAGCCCATATAATTAAGATTGTAAACTGCCCATATTTATTTACTTATTTGATTTATACCCCGCCCATCTGGTCTAAAAGACCACTCTACGGTGCTCTAAGCACTATGAAGTGGTATATAAATACTTTGCTTCTTCTTTTTTAAATGTAGATGCTTTATTCATTACATGTATAGCCAATGTTCTGTTAAAGCACTGTTAGCCACCCTGACCTCTTATAAAGAGGGGTAGGGTAGACAGTGAATACATCATCTTCATCACCCCTACCCAGTAGGGTCAATGAGGTTGTTGGCAGGGGAGCTAGAGACCCATCCAGGGATACCACGTGGCAAAAGTTGCTGTAAGTAAATCAGTGCGATTCTCACACTCCAGAAAAAGGGGTTGAGATGCAGTGCGTCAGCATGCCAGCGGCTGCTCAGCAAACTCATGGCAGAGGTCTTATCTCAAGGAAGGATTCACGGGTCATATTCTTGAGCCGCTCAAGTTACCCACCCCCACCGGCCGCCTGTTTGCACAGCTGATCATGTCTTTTGTTGGCCTTGAAACATAAAAGTTCTTTTGACTCTGTGCTTTCAGAACTAAAGGTCCCAGGATAATCTCAGGCCCAAACACAAAACTCAAGGCGCTGCTCCTGTTGGATAACAACACTCCCAGGCTCATCTCCCCCCCAACCCCCCCCAAGGGTCTTGCAACTTTTTGCAAGCAAGCAGCGCCTTTCATCTTACTGATAATGGCCGCATTGTTTGTTTCTTTGCGGAAACGGAATTTTCTCAGCTTTTCCACAAGATCTTCGGCAACATCACAGACCACCAGGGATTCACTCTGCCGGGGTTGCAGGGAGAGAAAAATGGAGGAAAGGAGAAAGAGGAGAGAAAGAGGAAAAGAGAGAAGGGGAGGGTGAAAAAGAGATTTCCATTATACTCGGCCACATTTTCCCTATTCCCTTTTGTTGAAGATTCTGGATAAAAGCGATATTTCACATGCTATGAGAGCTGGAAATAAACAACAGCAAATATTTTGGGTTGATGTGAATACAGATCCATGACCCCATAGAGCGGACAAAGGATTTTAAAACACTGTTGTTGGCAAGCACTGGTTTCTAGCAGACATCAAGATGTAGCTTATCTTCCCCAATTTGGTGGCCTTCAAGCGTGTTGGGAGTTTCTATCCCAAATGTATTTATTATTAACACACAGGGCTAAGATAAGATATTCTGCAGATAAGATGTGCTGCAGAACACATCCAAGCTGGCCATTTTTAGCACAGATGAAAGGCAAATGACTGCAACTAGCATGTGAATTATTGGGAGTTACACAGCAGTTGAAGGGATATTAAAGGGAAAAAAGCAAGTACAAAAGAGAAGGACCACAGAGCTATCACAGAGCACATGAGTTGCATATTAGATCTCCAAAATTGCAAGTTTTGTGCAAAAAAAATATACCCTGGTTATTATAATTACGAGTGCATGCAATTAAGAATTACAATGGTGCCTCGCTTAACGAGCGCACTGTTTAATGGTGAATCCGCATAGCGACGTTTTGCGATCGATAATGCAATCGCATTGTGATGTTTTTAATGGTAAAACATTGCATTGCGATGATCGGTAAGCGTTTCGCTTACCGATTTTCACATTGCGTTGTTTTTTTAACAGCTGATCGGTGGTTCCAAAATGGCCACCGGGTAAAGAAAATGACCACCACTCGCCACCGGGTAAAGAAAATGGCCACCTGCTCCGTTTTCGCACCCTTTCCTCGCTTCCCGGGCAGTGAAAATGGCGGCCGAATGGAGAATTTCCGCATAGCAGTGAGTTTTGTGTCCATAAGAACGCATTAAACATGTTTTAATGCGTTCTTATGGGCTTTTTTTGCCCCGCATAGCGAGGTATCCACATAGCGATGATTTTTTCGGAATGGATTATCGTCGCTATGCGGGGCACCACTGTGCACCAAGAGGCCACCGCCTTCTAGATCACTTTCAATGATTTGCTCATCTCGAGAAACTGGAGGCCTGGCAAGAAGCTGTTCAACATCACAAGGATGTATTGCAATCCTGTTGCCAAGGAAAAGAGAGGGACATGCATTCGTTTCAGCTTACAGGCTTCCAGTGTAGATAAACAGGGACCAAGTCCGCATTATAGATTAAGCTAGTTTCAGTGGCTGAGTAAATGAGAAATTGTGGGCCTTGTGTTGATATTTAGACTAATATTTGGGGGGGGCGGAGGCTACCTTTTTATTCATGTTTACTTCCCATGCATATTGCTGGAATTAAAATTAGCACATATTGGTGCTAGTAGTAGAGACGCCTCAGCTCCAGTAGCGGACTCTACAGCATCTAATTCTTTTGGTGGGAGGGAGGGAGGGGGCAATCTGGACAGTTAAACTGGATTAGGTTTTCCAATACAGACTTGCCCTACATTTCTTCATACGTAGCCGGATTTAAGACTAAGGCGTCTCACTAAGAAACCGCTTGAAGCCCATCAAACTTTTGCTCTTTCTGTGTGAAGGTAAAAATTCCCCCAGCAACTTTTCATAGGTAACCAAAGGAGACAATGTCAATTTCAAGACGGAGGTTTAGGAATGCAGGACGAGGTGTAACTATTCTCAGAGAACCAGAAATGGATGACGCGATCCAAAGCCATTTACCCCTTTCAGTCCAAGAAGGCACCTATTAGCCTTTTTCCATTGGTTGCGATCCGTCACACACAGAGAACAGATGGCATACAACGCCACCCTTTTACACCCAGTAGTCAAACCCAGCAGTCAACCCAGGGCCAAATTCACCATCACTTACATAGATTATCTGAGTGACATTCAGGGAGATGCCTTACAGCAGAGAGGAGAAAAGGAAATTTCCACCCTCTTATTACTCTTAAACAATGAGACCTTACAACTTACTCTGGTGCAGATAAGGGTTGCAGCCTTGGTTACTACCCATCTCAGGTGATTTTTAGGGAATACAGTACTGTGTGCGCAAGAAGATAAGGTTTCCAAATCCTTTAAAAGTCTCATTTAATCGGTTGTTGTGGGTTTTTCAGGCTCTTCGGCCGTGTTCAGAACACAGCCAAAGAGCCCGAAAAACCCACAACAACCATTAGATCCCGGCCGTGAAAGCCTTCGCGAATCTCATTCAATTAATTAACATTTATTTTCAATAAATATGAATGGGACGGGCCTATAGGCAATCCAGAGCCACCTTTGAGCAGATAACAGTAGCCATTCTGAGGATAAACCATGTACTAAGTAAGAATGTTATTACAAGGGCTCAACAGGGGGTTCAGGTTGCTCTCTAAAGCCATGCATAGGGTTGCACTGGCACAATCATTGGACGTGGATCATAAAATCATGGAAACCAAATCAAAGGAGATCTGCCAGTGGGTTGTCTTAAGTGTCTCTTGAAGGCGTCCAGTGTTGGAGCACTCACCACCTCCGGCGGTAATCTGGTTCCATTGTCGTACTGCTCTAACAGTGAAAAAGGTTTTCCTGATATTCAGCCTAAATCTGGCTTCCTGTAGCTTGAGTCCGTTCTTAGGTGCCCTGCATTTGAGGATGATTGAAAACAGATCCTGCCCCTCCTCTGTAGGACTACCTTCCAAATATTTGAAGAGTGCTGTCCTCTCTCCATTCTTCTTTTCCCAAGGCTAAACATGCCCAGTTCTTTCAGTCTTTCCTCATGTGCATGGATGTCTGTCATGTTTCACTGTCCATTTCCCTTTGTTTTCTACTCATGCGCACAGCAAATGACGTCAGGTAACAGAACCCCTATTTGTGACAGTGAATGTGGCCCCCAAAGCAAAGGTGGGACACCTAAGGTCCCTCACAGATAAACAGTTCTCACCGTCCCTTATTATTGGCCATTTTCAGAAGAAGGCTGAAATACCGGGCGGGCCCAAGGTTTTCCACCAGGGGGTACAAGGGAACTTATTTGGGATAAAGCAAACTGGAATACGATCAAGTATCCTAGTGGGATACAATCATTAACTTTCATTCGTTTCATTTACATGCTGCTCCAAAATGTCTGATACGGATCAATATACATTGATATTTATTTATTTTATTTATTTGGCTTTTATACCGCACATCTAGATGAATCTACTCTGGGCAGTTGACAGTCCAAAAAAAGGCAATAAAGTTAAAAGCATCCATAGACAGCCTAAAAAGCAAGACAAAATAAAGAAAAATATGAAGAACAGATCCTATCAACCCATTTAGGGAACATCCTCGCTTCTGCCATTCTAGAAAGCAAAGCAGAAAGTTAAAAAAAGCGAGGGGGACTTGGGGGGGTCATTGCAGCTCCTTTCCTGGGGCCAGTCTTGCAAGGGAGCAAATGAGGGGTGGAGGGATCACAGCCTGCCTCCTAAGAAACCCCCTGATTTCTGTATTTCTGTGCAGAGGCGTGAAGCAGGAGAGGTCTAACCCAGAGCCTGGGGGAAAAAGGGATTATTTTAACAGGACGAGCAATAAGACAGTTTGCAGTCTTCTGCCCCCCACCCCTGCTCATTCTGCTCACATTCATAGAGGTCTCTTTAAAAGAAAAGCTACAGCAAAATTGCCCTGCCTCGTTCACCACCACCTCCTCCTGCTTCCTCTCGTGCAATGAGCCAAAAGGTCCCTTGCAATCTGTGGGTCTGCAATTTTTGCTCGTGCATTGCAATGGTCCCAATCCACCCTCCTGCGTCCCCAGATTGCATAGCCTTGATTTGCACCGGGAAAGACTTTATGGAAAAGGTAAAAAAGAAAAGGGGAAGCCCGGGAACCCAGCCTCCGCTACGCGCCCAATACACTCCCTGGACTCACCATCTTGCATCCGCAGCAGCAGAAACCGTCTCTTTCCCCCCACCCCAATCCCCCGCGCGGCCCCTTTAAGACCCTGAGTGGGCCCGCCCCGAGGCGGCCTCGCTGTATCTACTGCGCATGCTCTACGGAGCCTCCCAGCCAATCAGGGCCGCCACTCTGTTCAGACGGGAGGCCTCGCTGGGCTACGGCGAGCGAGAAGCGGCGGGCTCTCCCCTCACGTCATTCTCATCCCCTCCTCGCAGCTTCTCCATCCTTCCCAGGCATTCGAGCACCCGCCCACGCCTAGAGCGGACCGAAGTGGGAGAGGCGCCCGCGGCCAGGCCTAAATGCGCTCCCTCCCTCCTCGGCGCCAACCAGGAAGCGCTGTTGCCATGGCAACCGGAGAGCTTCTTCCTTTGCAAACAACCTACCCCCCATTTAAAAAAACAAAACAAAACCACTTCTATGGTTAATGGACCTGAAAGGAACGAGAAGACGGGATTCATAGAGTGCCCTGATAAACCGAGAACGGAATTCCTTTATAAGAGAAAGAATTTATGATATATCGGGCAAAATCCAAAGGGGGGGGGAAAGAAGAACAAAAATAAAAAAGATCAAAACCTTGTGACCCCTTAAAGAGTAACTTATATTTTTATGTGAAACACCTGGAATAAAACAAAATACAGAGTTTACAAATAAAACATGCTCCCGAAAGATTCATTGGCTTGAAGAGTCTGGGGTGTACCGTTGCATCTCACATACAAGGTTGATGATCAGGAGGATGATTTTGTTCCAGGACACCTCCATGTTACCCTGTTGCAAAAGTCTCATTTGACCCAAACATTTGGGGACAAAGTCCCCCCCCATCAAATGTTACCATCCACATGTTGAAGATCCCTGAGGTTGGAGGCCTTTCGTTGTGGTTCCTGTCCCTGTCATTGTTGTTGCTATTAAAATACTCATAACAAAAGCAATAAGGATAATGCAGCCTGCAAAATGGCTGGACCTGGTTTGCAAAAAATTTGCACCATATTAGATCAATCTACTTGCTAGGTCTGTTTTTGTGCTTCTATTTTTAAATAACCAGACAACCCCATGCCTTATTTCAAGAGAAATCCAGCCATGTCCAACAGACTGTAGGCAAGCATGCACAGCCCTGAAGTAGGAAATTATTGCAAACAGTATTGACATTTACACATTGATTGATTTATTTTTATGCCTTCTGTTTCACTACTACCCACAAAGTCTACTTTCATCTTATGCCGGGTTCCTGGGGGGAAAGCATCTTCAGGGGTTTAAATATTATTACAATCCTTTCTAGCATGTCATCCAAGAGATGCCAGTCTGTTCAAAATAGCTTGCATGAAACATCAAAATAATTAGTAAAACAATCTTTCTTGGAATCTTTCCCATACAGTAGAAGGGAGTAAACCTACCCCCGAGAAATCATACAACAAGGCTGCGTTGTTATCTGTTTTGCTTACATTTCTTCAGGCTGTGTTTTTAACCTACATGATTGTGAAAAGACATGTAGTGAGTGGCTATGTGGGATTTTACAATTAGGATGATTCATATTTTGTTGCTATAAACTGTTTTAATAAGACTTTTATATCACATTTTAAGATGCAATCGGTATTTCATTATTTTTAAATGTTTCGATAATTTATATATCTCTTTTCACAAAGTAAGCCACCTTTTATTGTATGCACAGGGGGTACTATTCAGAATTTACGCCGAAAGGTGCAATTTATGCAGAAAGGTGGGTTCAAATGTATTGTAGCTGGCTAGGCTGTTTTCAACCCCACTCCAGTCTTCAATCAGACCTGGACTGAAAGAGCGCGGGATGGTGCAAAAGGGACATAAACATTCAAAACATCATCACCCGACATGATTCCCTGCTTAGAGATGCTTCAAAACGGGGGCTGCAGACTCTGATCAGAGGTGCAAGTTGCAAATGTCAAATCTAGTGGTGCAGATTGCAATACAGTCTCTCTCCCCAGGTTTGTACGCCCTAAAAACCCATAACAACCATTATCTATGCATGCATGCATGCATGCACGCAAGTGCACGTGCATGCATGCATTCGACTTCCAGACCACTCGTCTGTTCTGGGGGTCACTCCGGGCGGTGTACAACAATAAAAGGAATAGCAACCCCCTTATACATACAATTCAAATACAATACATCAAACAACATACAAAATAGAATCAAACCGTATAAATATCCGTTTATTAGACAAAGAGGGTTGCAAGATGAGGATGGAAAAGGGGCTGCAATCCATGGAAATTCAGGGCCATTCATTGACAGGCCACAGGGCTGCTGTAAAACCCCAGCTGTCGCTCAGAGTAAGAAGGAAGGCGGAGGGGGGGGGAAAGCAGAGAGGGGAACGAAGGGCGAGCGGAGAACGGGCAGGCCGGCTTCTTTGCCTCGACGGAGCATGCGCGGGCGGCTCGCGCCTGCGCTCTGGGTTGACAACCCCGGGCGTCTCTCTCCGGCTGGGGCTCCCCGATGGCCGCCGCCTTTTTGGTGGCGCTCTACGAGTACTCCCCGCTTTTCTACATCTCCGTGGTTTTCGTCTGCTTCTTGGTCACCAGTGGCCTCGTCATGGGCTGGTCAGTGCAGAGCCTTGGGAAGAAAAATTCCTTTTTTGGGGGGAGGAAAGGAGGGACTACACCTCCCAGTATCCACAGCCATGGGGAAGATCTACTAAATCACTCGCTTTAGCCAGGATGGGCGGCTGTGGGGCCTAACACTGAGGCCTGGAGAGAAAGAATTGGGCCTTCTCGGCAGTGGCCCCTCACCTTTGGACAGTCTTCCCCCGGAAATTCGCCTGGCCCCCTCTCTGGGTGTTTTTAAGAGCAAAATTAAGACCTGGTTCTTTAGGCAGGCCTTCCCTCCTGTCAATACCTAACTTACTTCATTGCCATCTCTTGTTGTATTATTGTTGTTCTATTTTATATTGTCATTATTTGTATTTATTTATTTTATTTATTTATTTGATTTTTACCCCGCCCCTCTAGACCATGTCTACTCGTTGTTGTTTGTATCTTATTCAAATATAAATATAATTCTGGAAAATCTCCGGGGCTGGTCATTGACCTTTTGAAGAGTGGGGAATCGAACTCCCAACCTCTGGCTTTTACCCCTCTAATATAATCAGATGCCAATGTTTTTAATTAATTTATTTTTTTCCAGCTTTTGCCCCGCCCTTCTAGATTCAATGAATGTCCCCTGGGCGGCTTGCAGTCCGGATATATAAAACAAGAATTAAAACAGACAACATGGGAGATAGGCAAAGTCCAAGATGGGGAAAACACAGGGGACAAAGTGATGGAAGGGGGTGGGAGGCCTGCCTGAAGAACCAAGTCTTCAGCTTGGTTCTTAAAAACTCCTAATGAGGGTGCCGGGCGAATCTCCAGGGGGCAAGATGCTCCAGAGGCGAGGAGCCACCGCCGAGAAGGCCCAGATTCTAGTTCTCTCCTTCCAGGTCTCTCTCGGGGTCAAGCCCCTCAGCCGCCCAGCCTGGCTAGATCGACTGACATGGGTAGAGCCAGGTGGGAACAGCCGCTCTGCCAGGTATCAAGGTCCTAAACCGTTTAGGGCTTTATATGTAAGTCCAAGGGTAACTTTTGCAACATCACGATCATCCTTGTTGTTGTCGTGATCACAGCTCTAATTACTATTTCAGTGTATGTGACAAGCTCCTGTTCATGTATGTTCCTTTTCTCCTTCCCAGGTTTGGGTGGGACGTCCCCGTGATTTTGAGAAACTCAGAAGAAACGGAGTCAAATGTGAAAGTGTCCCAAAAACAGATGCGGCAAGTGAAGAACCCGTTCAGCTTGGAAATAAAAAATCTGACGGCAGCTTCAGCTACAAGTCAGTGGATTTTTATTTTTTTAAAAAAAACTGTAAATGTTTAGCCATTGTTCATACGTCCTTTTCTACCCTTTGTTCTTGGCCACATCAAGAAGCCGATTGTTTACTTTCAGAAACTTTTCCTGTAGGAAATCATCCACTGAATTTGTCTGAATGAGATTTTTTAAAAGCCATATTTCCTCACCTAACTTAGAGGGTTGTTATCTGGGTTTAAATTGCCTCCCTCAAGCTCCCTGATCAGACCCAAGAGAAAGCAGAGTGGAATGTGAATGATCGTTCTGACTTCTGTATAATGTCTCCGTTATAAACTTGACTGAAGCAAAGGGGAAAGGCAGAATCCTTTGTGAAACATGGAGACAGCAGGTTGTGTCTCATGTGACTGATTGTGCTCTAGTTGCACAATCAGGCAGGCACCTGGTCGCACACACACACAGAAGAAAGCCCACCAGACGTTGCTCTTGCACACACAGGTTTCTGCAAGAGAACCATGGCCTGTGCTTGTCAATAAAAGGCATAACCTGTAATCTTGTACTAATTTACCTGGAAGGAAGCACCACTGAAATCCAATATATCTAAACATGAGTAGATATGTAGAGCACACTGTGTTGTTAATCTCGTTCAGTGGTTTCCAACCTTGGGTCCCCAGATGTTCTTGGACTACAACTCCCAAAAATCCTGACCAGCACAGCTAGGAGTGAAGGCTTCTGGGAGTTTTAGTCCAAGAACACCTGGAGACGCAAGGCTGGAAAATGCCGTTCTCGTTTCTCTGTCCTTGGTGCTAGAAGTCTGATGTGGTACCACACAAGTGTATTATGGGGAATCCCAGTTGGAACACAGGTGCTTTGCTACGTAGAATTTAGAAAGCTGAGTCAAAAGGCACATTTTGAGCTCCAGGGATGAAGTCCAAACATGCTTAGAATTTAAGCCTCAGCTCAAAGAGGTAAAAATACTTTAATTTAAAGCTGGTTAAGAGGCCTTGCCTCTTATCATGTTCATCAAGAGGCCTTGCCAGATCATCATTGCCAGAAGAACAGACATTGACTTGAAAGACTCCATGATCGTAATATGAAACCATGCCAGCTGTATCCCAGTGGGACTGTAGGAGTCGTGTTTCACTAGAGACCTTTCAAAGTGGCTGATTTCATGACCTTGTATCGGTGTTTTATCCCCAAGGTGGCATAACGCTGGGGCTTGATTGTCTGGAGGATTGTCACCTGACGTGCTACTGGGACTGCAGTGTGCAAAGGCTCCATGAAGCTCTGCAGATGCATGCCCGTTCCCTTCGCCTAAAAACTCCCCAGGCCTTTGAAGATGCGCTGTGCAACGAATACCTTTACCGCCAACAGTACCAGTATCCTTTAACCAAGATTCCATGCCTTCAGCTTCGTGTGGAAGCAGATTCTATCCTTTAACCAAGATTCCATGCCTTCAGCTTCATGTGGAAGCAGGAAATAGCCCCTTGTAAACAAACAAGTTTCCAGCCTTTGTGGATGCCAAGTACATTTCAGAGGGGAAAAAGCAAGGAAAAGAGGTTCCAGATAATGGATGCTTGGTGATATTATATCCTCTTCTGGGTGCCTGGGTTCCGGTTTTGTTTCTTTTTTTAAATATATATATCACCATGGTTTCTGTCCTCATCCTCCACTACACTAGTGGAAATTGTTTATATAAACAACGTAAGATAGACAGATAGATAGACAGATTTATATAAACAACGTTAGATGATCAATCAATCAATCAATCAATCAATCAACCAATCAACCAATCAATCTATCTATCTCTCTCTCTCTCTCTCTCTCTCTCTCTCTCTCTCTATCTATCTATCTATCTATCTATCTATCTAGCTCTCTATATCTCTATATCTCTATATCTCTATCGATCAATTGATTGATCGATAGATATTTATATATTTATATAAACGATTTACATAAACGATTTCACTATTTATATAAATGATTTCCACTAGCGTAGTGGAGGATGAGGACAGAAATCATGGTGATAAAACTCAGTTTGCAAATGGAACCCTTATTTATTTGAAGACAGGACCTCCCTTAGCTCTGGATATGGAGCGTCGAAAAACATATCTCCATTTCTTCTTTGCAAACTGTTCTGCACCCACTAATGAGCTGTTTGGAAATATGTGGATTGCTGCCAATGACCCACTTGCTCTGTGCACTGCTTTTCTGTGGCATAGCTGTTGCACAGCCGAGGGGAGAGCAGAAAGTAGATTTGCAAGTCTTTTGACAGCCTTGCCATTGTATACAGATCAGTTGTTGTTTTTTATCAGAAATTTACAGTCTTTGGCAGGGTAACCAGAGCAATTGAAAAGAGAAGTTGTGACCAAATCATGCAAGATGAATTAGGCATGCATTTATTAATTTTACTTAGGTTTTGTGCATCGCGTGTTCTGTTTATTAGCTGATTTGTTCGGCTTGTCAGCAGACCTGTTCTGTGTATTGGCAGATTTGGAGTGGAGCAATTGCAGATTCCCAGTGTGGTGTAATGGACAGAGTAACAGCCTGGGACTCTGGTAGAACAGGGTTCCATTCCTGTTCCTCGGCCACAGATATTCACTGGGGATTGGGGTGTAACCGGTAAAGCTGCTCCTTAAATATCTCACTTGTTAAGCTCTCTATAAGTCAGTTCCGTCTTGATGGCAGAGAACAGACAGTTACAGAGTCCAGTGGAGCCATGCTCCTTGATATCTGAAAAATTTGCTCATTTCTCCAGCTGGTACTGTTTTTAAAAGAGATGATGAGGAGAGAAAGTTCACAGTATTTGAAATGGAATGTATTTATTTTGAATATTTTCATGCCACCTTTCTCCTAAAGGGTCCAAGGTGGCAGTACAGCATTCTGTGCTTGCAGATTATTATCAGGGACAAACACAACGCAAGCTGTCCCACTTTAAACAGGTTGGCTTAGCAAGAGAGTTGGCACACCCTCCCAAATTTGTTTTTAAAAAACAACAACATTGGCAGCCAAAATGGCATTTGTCTTCAGTTGTGCTGGCAGCGTGAAAGCTCCTTGACACGTACCAAGCATTAAAAAGACAGAGAAGGAGGAAAAGCACTGTCAGTTACCAGAAGAGGCACAAATCACCGATTTTGGCCCAGTGCCTCGATCTCGGTACCCACTCGTAGCGCTGCTGACCTTAGCTGATGAAGACAACAGAGAAATCTATGACATTGTAAGTAATGTTTGTCTTTTAAAACAACATGGAAACAAGTTTATATACTAGAGATATAGAAGAATTACTGCTGAGCAAAAGCAATTTGGTGATTGCTTTTTTTCCCTACTGTTGCATTGCTTTGGGTCTTTTTTATTGTCCTTTTTGAAGTCGCATCTCTCCGACGGTCTTGGAGTAGAAAACTAGTAATTGGAAATTATTATATTCTAGAAGCTGGATCCATTTCAGCCTGCAGGGAAAAATTGGCAAAAGTTAATAACAGGTCCTGATTTCTCATCTAATGGAAGATTTGTCTGGGTGAACTTGTAACTTGATGGGGCTGATTAGTGATATTCAACTGGTTTCATTTAACTTTCGCCTGGAAGAGCTAATTTATGGTCACTGGGGAGGATTTTACTCAACCTGAAGCAGGAAATTGAATGCATTTCAAAGTTGAAGGTGTCGAACGAAAGCTAGGTGGCTTCTTAAAATGTTTTCCTCACTTTTCTTCCAAAGTATTCACTTTCCAGCTTTTATTCTGTGTCCTCGGCACAAAACATAAGACAACCAGCTCAAAGCAAAGGAGCATGGATAACATCAGACATGGAAATGCACCCTTTCAATTCAAAAGGCAGCATAGAATTTCAAATTTTGCAGTAAGAGTGTGCAGGCGTGGACACGTGAGCAAACGCGCACACATGTATGTAAGCATGTGGGTGCAGTGAAGTCTAAAGTCGTGGTGGGGGGGTGTCACTTCTCTGGCGGGTGCGAAGCATCCCTGTGGGTTCAAATTGCAAGTTGCTGGTGTGTGTTGTACATGGATAGAGAGAGATATAAATACATGCCGAGAAAATGTCATACATGTTAAGCTGGCGGAATGAGGCCTGTGAGTTGCAGTTGGGATTTTAGCCCTAAACGATCAAGCAGAACTTATGCAGAATGTGGATGTTATCTTGTTAGAAATTAAGGCTAAGAGGCTTCATATTTTTTTTTCTCATCCGTCAGAACATTTGGTGGGTTACTGTTGTTTTTAAACAATAGATGAAACCTTTTTTTTCTTTTCTTTTTTTAAAAGATCGCTATGGTGTCAATCATTCATGTTCCTGATAACAGTTACAGACTTTCCTGCAGGATGTTGTATCAGTATTTGCTCTTAGCCCAAGGACAATTTCATGATTTAAAGGTAAGCTTTGGGATTCCTTGTCTTTTATATGGAACAAAAGTTTTTTCAGGAAAAAAAAGACTGAGGTTCGTGTTAAATGGGCTGAGCGTTCTGCATCCAGACAAGAAATAACTGGTGAAAATCGAGTGCTAGATAACTATTCTTGTTTACCTGGGGGTGCAGAAAGTTCAAAGAACGTTACTGAAACATCTGGATGGCAGAGGTGTTGCTTTTTCTTTTCCTAGCAACAATGGTAGAACGACGAGAAAGGAGAACTGTAGTCATTCAGTGATATAACTGATAGGTATAATGTAAATATTGCATGACATTGTCTTGTTTTTAGCCTCTAGTTTTCAAGGTGAAAAGGAAAGAACAAGAGCCTTTCATAATTGTATGCGTATTGTAGCAAAATCTGAGGTTCCTTTGGTCACTTAAAATAGGGGCACAGTGGTGCCTCGACTTATGAACTCAGTCCATTCCAGAAGATGGTCGTAACTCGAAATGGTCGTAAGTCGAAGCACCATTTCCCATTGAAATGCATGAAACGCAATTCATCCGTTCTGGCTGTTTTTTGTGGGGTTTTTTTTGGTAGTATCTCGAGGCACCGGTCGCAAGTCGAAGCGGTTAATCCATCCACGACCACTAGGGGAGAATTTTTCTTCTTTTAACCTAAGATGACTTAGGTTAAAAAAAGGACAGGAAAGGAGGGAGGGAACATTGGGGAAAAGAGGAAAGAAAGAAAGAAGGTTATCACTGGGGCACACAGACTCCAACAGACGAAGGTTTGTGCTTTTAGGCACAAAAAGGGAGAGAGGAGAGAGAGAGAAGACAAGGGGGGGGGAGAGTTTGGAGTCTAAATACCTTTTAAAATGAAACACCTTTTAAACCCACACATTTTAAAACAAAAGAGAGGTCACAGTACACAAACCCTAGAAGCCACAGAATGCAATAAATAAATCCAGCAACCATTATTCCAGCAAACAGACCTCTCGGTCTAATTTTACCTTTTAAAATTACAGTCTTAATTTTCACATTGAATTATAATTTCATATTACAGTCTGATTTTCACATTTCAAACCAACACAGCAAGACCAATCAGAGCACAGAAACATAACCTCCCCTCCACCTAGCCCAAACCCACACTGCAAAACCCTTGTGCAGTACATACAGTGTACTCGCCCAGAACAGGCAGTCTGTCTGTTTTAAAAAAGAAAGCCAAAAATCCAAAAAGCAAAAATTTAAAAAAAGAAGCCAAAAAAAACACCCCACAGTACAGTACAGTACCAGGCAGTCTGAAGTCTCTCTCCGAACCCATACTCTCTAACCACTGGGGCAAACAAGGTACAGAAAAGCAGCCTCTTCGCTGACCAGTGGTTACCTGAAAGCAGTTCAAATTTCCCACTTTGCCCACCTTCCCCTCTTTTTTTTTCCAGTCGTAACTGGAAGCTCCAGCCACAAGTCAAAGCAAAATTTTGCAACCAGAGCTGGTCGTAATTCGAAATGGTCCTAAGTTGGGACGTCCATAAGTTGAGGCACCGCCTCTAGCTTCCTTTTATATACGTCACGTATTAACTTTGTTGATGCTACCCATGAATGACTTCCCAAAGGCCCTACCATTAATAGCCCTAGTCTTGCAAATTCAAGCCCATGGCTTCCTTTACCAAATGAAACCATCTCATATTTAGCCTTCCTCTTTTCCTGCTGTCACCAGTTGTTGTTTTTTTCAGCACTGTTGAAAAAAAAGTCTTGCCTTCTTGTGATATTACGATGTTAGGTAGCTTCCTTGCTTCCTAAATGTTGGTTCGTTCCTTCCTTCCTTCCTTCCCTCCTCCTCCTCCTCCTGGGCTTCCCTGCAACTCCAGCAACTCTTCATGTCGGCCAACAGCAACGCATCGTCTCTGAACAGTCCCCCATCCGGTCGCACAATCGAAGATGACCGCGTTCCACTGGAAGACATCAGGCTGGCTGGGGACGAGCTGGAGACTCCGGAAGAGAGCAGTAAGGACTGTGTGGTCTGCCAGAATCGGCCCGTCAACTGGGTCCTCCTCCCTTGCAGGCACACCTGCCTGTGTGACGAGTGTGTGAAATACTTCCAGCAGTGCCCGATGTGTCGGCAATTTGTGGGTGAATCCTTTCCCCTGAGCAGCCAAACGCAGTAAGAACAAAGACCAGAAAGAGAAACTCACCTGTTTTGGGACAGTCTATCTCTCTCCTTCCACTCCAAAGACCGTTCCGGTGGCTGATCAGCCGCAAGCGTTTGCACCTCCCCTTAATTTATTTTGGAAGCCAAGAACGTTTAACGTGCCCGAGGTTGGAGCCCCAGCGCAGCCTTCTGGGGGCACCACAAACGGAGAAAGAAGCCGCCCTGTTGCGCTCAGCGTGAAGAGTGTCTTTAACGCAGAAAGCAATTTCCGGGGTGTTCTAACGAAGGATGATGAAGAGGTTCGTGCCAGCAACCGGGTGCAGCAGGAACATACCGGGCCGACGTTCTTTCCTCTCTCCCTTGTGAGGAATATAGTATTATTTATTTATTAAAGATTCAAAAGACGGTGGGTGGATTTCCAATCATTAGCCACTTTGGGCTTTTCCGCTGTAGCAAAGGGAATAACGCAAGGAAAGGAATATAATCTGTGCAGCTCATTCACTGGTTTTTTTTTTCCAATAGTCCGTCATTCTTTTGCGCATATGTGATCTTCTTGGGTTCACTCTGGATAGAACTGGCTGCTTCCATTTCCTTGTGGGACTCTCAGAAGTATTGTTTCAGGGTTGGAACGCTTCTCCTCCGGTGAAGACCAGCTCAGCCTAGGTAGGGACGGCCACAGTCAAGAAAAATGGGCAGGCTCAAAACTTAAGAAGAAAATATTCAGTGACTGAAATCCACTGGTAAGGGGCAACCAGAGTAGGCCCACTGAATGAATGGAAGTTACATAAGTCAGATACTTGGGCATTCCAACTTCCAGGAAAATAAAACATGATCTTTTTTATTATATTTGTATTATTTGATCTTGTAAGGTGTTGAGAGTTGTTAGTTTTGATTTTATATAAACCCTCCAGTGCAGTACTTGCACTAATGGGGTGGTATGGAATGAATGAATGAATGAATGAATGAATGAATGAATGAATGAATGAATGAATGAATGAATGAATGAATGAATGAATGAATGAATGAATGAATGGGTATTGACCCATCAAATCTCCACTGATTCAATGGGCTTACTCGGTTGTGACTCACTACTGGCTTTCCGCCAGAGAGTGGCAAACCGGAGAGGTTAGCTTGCCCCAGACAAGATGTACACAGAGTACGGATGTGCTGTGTTAAGAACCCACAGACAGACCCATAGACTCTAAATGGAGCCCTTTGTCCCAGTCATGAGGGGCAGGAAGCCTAGGGATGACAAGGGCGGGCAGATCAGGAAACAACGGTTAGTGCCGTTCCATTTGACTATGGGTCTGAGCCCTACCCATCTGCAGCCCATACTGTAGTTCTGCAAGGAAGGAATCACCCCTTTGCTTTATACAAAGCAAAAGTGGCGAGGAAGAAGGAAACACACACAAAACTTAACTGTTCTGCAGAACGTTTGCAGGCAACAGGATATGTGCCAACATGTTAAGTGTTCTGGTGGAATACAGTCTCATGCCCATGGTTTTTAAGCCCTTGGCCTACATGAAGTCTTCCATTCTGATCCCCCCCCCTTACTGATTAGGAATAGACTTCCAAGGTTGGAGAGGACTAAGTAAAAAAAATCATTCTGTTTTTTTCATCATTGCATCCAGCGTCCACTCCAAGGAACCAAAACACCCGACGCTTCACTCCTGCCTCCGATTTTTAGTGCTGCTTCAAGAACTGGATTTGTTCTTGCCCTTTTAGCCCCCCTAAAATCCCATAATTGTTGTAAGCTGCCGAGAGAGACGTTTGGGTAATGTGGGGGTGGTACAACTTAAATAAACAACACAGGGCAGATTTAAATGTGAGCTTTGCGCAGTGTCTCTGAAGATGCAAACTGTCGTTCCTGAAAGATCACATTGAAATAAATTCGTCAGCCTTAAGGGTGCCGGAAGACTTTGGTTTTGATATATGAATTGGAATGGTCAAACGCGGCTGCCACGTTGAAAATTCTTGCAAGGTCGGGTCGGGTGAAACAGACTGGGTTTCACCCAAAGCCAGGGATTCGAGGTGAGCTGGAATCTCCATTTCCTTCCTCGCTGTGATTTTGTGAGTGGGATCGAGGTGAGCGCCAAGGTCTGACGGAGTGTAGGTTAAGGGGCAATTTGGTCACCCCTCTTTGTAACACGCACGGCCTAAAGTGAATTTACTCTGATCTTTCATGCGGTGCCCCTCATTCTCTTTTTCTCCTCTGGCTACAGCAACGGTGGCTAAAGTGCGTCCTTCCAAGTCCTGTTAGAGTGAAGTCTTCACCAGCAAGTCTAGGGGAATCTCGGGGCTCAAGAGGCAAGGGTCTACAGGGCCACCCCTGGCACCTACCTCCTATGCAAAGAGCAGAAAGTCAAGAACGAGTGGGTGGGTGGCTTGGGGTTGTTGTTACGCCTTGCCTTTTCCATGGCTAGCACCTCCACTCTGTCAGAGGACAGTTTGCCTCTTCTCTCTGGAGCCACCTCCTGCCGTAGACATGGCAAAATAAGCAAAACAGAAAGGAACACCCTTCTCTGATATGCACCTTTATCCAGGTAAAAGGTAAAGGTAAAGGTTCCCCTTGACAATTTTTGTCCAGTCGTGTTCGACTCTAGGGCGCGGTGCTCATCCCCGTTTCCAAGCCATAGAGCCAGCGTTTGTCCGAAGACAATCTTTCCGTGGTCACATGGCCAGTGTGATTTAGACACGGAATGCTGTTTACCTTCCCACCGAGATGGTACCTATTTATCTACTCGCATTTGCATGCTTTCGAACCGCTAGGTTGGCGGGAGCTGGGACAAGCAACGGGCGCTCACTCCGTCGCGTGGATTCGATCTTATGACTGCTTGGTCTTCTGACCCTGCAGCACAGGCTTCTGCGGTTTAGCCCGCAGCGCCACCACGTCCAGGTATTCACATGCAAACCGTCTCTCCCCCCCCCCATTGCATACATACCCCTTTCTCCTCCCCTGCCTCCACTCAGCATTTCCAGTCACTGATGCATCTTGACTAGATCAGCTTGCAAACCAGTGTGTCCGCGTGCCTTCTGTGGCAAAACCAGCCAAAGATCCTGCAGCATCTTAAACCTTGACCTGCTACAGCATTTTGCGTCCTGCTTCCCACTTCCTGCAAAGGCAACCGACATTTCTCATTGGCTGTAATAGCCAAAAGGACAGGCTATTATAAATCGGCAGGCCAGTAGCCTGTTCTGTGCAGGCAAGAGCTTCTGCAGCTGTGGATCTGCTGGTTCCACAAGCCAGAGGCTACCCCTGTTTTCAAGAGTGTGGGAACTGGCCTTCCCCCATGGGACGTGGTGGCGCTGTGGGTTAAACTGCAGAAGCCTCTGTGCTGCAAGGTCAGAAGACCAGCCGTCCTCAGATCGAATCCACACGGTGGAGGGAGCATGTTCTGTGCAGGCAAGAGCTTCTGCAGCTGTGGATCTGCTGGTTCCACAAGCCAGAGGCTACCCCTGTTTTCAAGAGTGTGGGAACTGGCCTTCCCCCATGGGACGTGGTGGCGCTGTGGGTTAAACTGCAGAAGCCTCTGTGCTGCAAGGTCAGAAGACCAGCCGTCCTCAGATCGAATCCACGCGGCGGAGGGAGCACCCGTCACTCGTCCCGTCAGCTGCCAGCCTAGCCGTTCAAAAGCATGTAAATGTGAGTCGATAAATAGGGACCACCTCGGTGGGAAGGGCATGGCATTCCATATCTAGTCGCGCTGGCCACGTGACTACGGAAACTCTTCGGACAAACGCTGGCTCTACGGCTTGGAGACGGGGATGAGCACCACGCCCTAGAGTCGGACACGACTGGACTCAATGTCAAGAGGAGGAACCTTTACCTTAATTACATACAAGAGCCACGGTTATGTGCCAAATCCGCATTATTCACCCCAGGGCCATAGCATAGAGTTCATCATCCCCTGCAGACATGCTCCGGCATCAGAGATGCTTCCAGCGACTGCGCCCTGTCCTTCCTCTCTGCGGTTTCCACCAATTTCTCCAGGCGGTCAGCCTCTAAGTTATGGAAATCTGGGGCTCCTTGAAACACGAGACGAGAGACGGAGCCGCAACTCCCGACAGATGGCCCCAGTTCTGTTGGCAAGGAACGTTTCATGTTTGCTCAATTAGACACCTGTCATATTGAAAGCTAAAGCATGTTTGCGTGACATATCCAGGCAGCGATGTAAAGGGGGCGGGGAGAGAGAGACGTCAGCCTCCATGTACAGCCCGATGTTGCTGAAAAGTAGAGGCAAAGGCCTTCTTGAACTACAATACCCAGAATTCCCCGTAGCCACCTGGGAAATTCCACACACCTCCACTTAAAAGCAGGAGGGAAGCCGCTTCAAGGAGGCGTGGCCTTTTTCTTGGCTCCTCCTCATGTACATTTTGATTGGGTCAGGGAATAAGGTGACAAGGAGCTGTCACGCCTTCCCATTGGTGGGAGCTGGGTTGTGGCACTATTGATGGCAGCACATGGGCTACGTGGTCAGTGCTGGAGCACATGCTTTGCATATTGAAAACTCCAGGTGCAATTCCCAGTTAAAGGCTACCTTCCCAGCAGGATGGCTTTTCCAGCCAGAGGTGTGTGGGGGAGCCCTGTTTGTTTGTACTACAACTCCCAGTCTGCTTGGAGCACACAATCTGATTCAATACAAGGCAGTTTCCTAGCTCCTAAGGAGCAAAAGGTCCATCCATATTATACAGTTGGATAACATTTTCACCATCATCATCCCATCATGCCGAATCCGGGGGCTGCAGCCCTAGTGAGCTTTAGCGTTGTGGTTTGTTCCGGAGACCAAACCAGTCTAGTACCATACCAAACTACACATCCCAAGGTGTCTTAGAATACAGAGGTCTCAAATCTAAATACGTAGTACAGATCTATTCCAGAACAGGATGCTATGGTGCAGATCTTAATATTCCGCTAGCAAATAGTTCAGCTTATCAAAATTAATCTCTGTACTATATATAAAGCCTGCCAGATCACGATCCTGTTTCATGGGCAGTGTGGGAGAGTGGTCCCAACGCTAAACCAGCGTTGGGGAGCTGAGTTTCACCCAGCCATGAAACTCACTTAATAAGCCTATAATAGTCCTATCGATCCAGATTAACCTACTTTATAGGGTCTATCTATAAGGTGGGAGGCGAAAGCAGTGAGACCTGAGTTTGCCATCTTGAGCTCCTTCTGAGGAACGGAAGGGGAAGGGTAAAGAGGGGGAGGGTGAATAAGCATTAAGGAGCTAGCTGGCTGGCTCAGTGGTGGAGAGTTCGAATCCCGTACTGTGCCTTCCAGGGAGAAAAGCCAGCCTGGGTGGCCTTGGGCCGGCTGCGCTTTCATCCCAGGAAAAAAGAAACCACTTTTGAGTAATCTCAATTTAGAAGACCCTGAAAGGGATGGCATATATCAGAATTAACTTGACA